AGGGCTGCCAGGTGTGGCTGGGCCCCACCCCCCCCCCTCTGCCCCCCCCCCACCGCCGGGTTTTGTAGGTGCTGCGCACGCGTTCCGGTCCGGGGTTTTGCAGTGGGAGCTGTAAATATTCCTGCGCAAAGTAAAATTCACAAGAAACAAGCACGGGCGGTGCAAGGCAACGTCTCTGCTTTCGTCTCTGCTTCTTCCCAGCATCCTGCAAGCAGCTCCGAGATAAAAAAACTGAACATAAACCCACACAGCCACTTATCAGCTAATTGCATGGATATTTACTCCACAGCGTCTTCCAGGGGCAGCCCCAGAAAGCCGACCTGTCCCCAAAGCAGCGCCCGTTCCACCTGCCCCCGCACCACAAAACCGGGAGGAACCACCCGAACCTGAGCAAGGGCAAGCGCCGGGAGCCGCTCCCTGGGACCCTCTTTTATAGCAGCTTCATTTCAAATGGCTCATTTTTCTGCGGTCGGGTTTGCCAAGCGCTGAATTGCATAAACCCAAGGCAGAAATTAGGCAGACGCCACCTTTTGATTATTTAGTACCAACCACCCTGGAATTACATTGCATTTTTTCTTTCAGGGAGGCAAAAAAAAAAAAAGGGGGGGGGGGGCAATTTGACATTGTGCTGCCTCAACACAACAAGAAGAGATTCAGCAGAAAGAGACTTTATGTGTGTGGGGGGGGAAGTACTGAGTCCCGGGGGGGCAGTTTCTTACAGCTGCACCACCCAAAACCACAAGAAGCTGTTAAATTTATTTTCAAGGAGGGGATTCCAGCGGCCGCTACTTGGAAGAGATCCCTGCTTCCCCCTCGTGTTTGGCTCTCCTCCCGCCCCAAACCCACAGGATCGGAAGGCTGGAGCTCTTTGCTGCGCACATACGTTAAAAAAAAAAACCCAAACCTAAAATCCTTTGATTTTCCTCAAGGAACGGCCCCCGTCCCGAGCGTACGGAGCAGGAAAGATCTCCCAGCAGGAGACGAGGAGCGGCCCGCGCCCCGGCTAGCCGATCGCGCCCCGGCTCTCCCGTACCGGGGCAGAAGTGACAAGACCCCGCACACGCGTCCCCGAAGACCCCTGCCCACCCTCGGCACAAACAAGCAGCACATCGCACCCACTCAGGAGACCTTCCACAGCGCTCCAGGATCATTAGAATAATTTAAGGTGAACAGGAAAAACAAGCTTTTGGTGCCTACAAAGCTCTTCAGTTAATCAGTCCGAGCCTTACTCAAACATCTGACTTCACCCATGCGGATGCCGGGGATTTTTGCCACTGAAGTTCGGGTAACTACCACAAAAACCCACCTCCTGACAGCACATTCCTGCCCGGATGGGCAGAGAAGTCACAAATACCAACTTCGAGTCAAAAGTTGGCTTTGAGGTGAATTTTCCGGAGCAGCCCTATCCCAGCCTCCTCCGCCCGGCGCGCTGCAAACAGATGCGAGGGAGACACCTAGTCGCGTTTTTGCTGCAGACCAGACCTGATCCTGCTCAACTCGGGCGAGGACCGGCCGCGGCAGAGCAGGATGAACCGCACGGCGGAGCCTCGGCAGACGCGTGAAGCCCGAGGCGGAACCAGAACCCAAACACCAACTTTCCCAACGCGCTCGATTATCAAAGAGAAGGAAACACAAACAGAAACAAACAGCCAAACGCTTTGGTTTCACCGCCCCAGCAGCAGTTAACCGGGAGATTTCTTCCTCTCCTCTTCAGACACCTTCAACTTGAAACTGCCTTTGCAAAAAGCAGTTGGTCTCGAGTGGTTCCGGCTGCCCGGCTCACCCCAGCTCTCCTCCCGACAGCTCCTGCGGTCGCCATCACGCCAAACACGGGTTTCTTCTCCTCTCCTTCTTCGGAAGAGAGCTCAGCCGCCCCACAGCTCATCGCACGCGCACGGCAAGCGGCGGGCACGGATCCCGTCCGTCGGGACGGCAGTCCTGGCCCCAAACCTCCGCCCGCAGCCGGCTCCTCTCCCGGGAGCCCGGGACCGCGCCGGACGGGCCGCAGGCTCGCGAGCTGCTGGCCAAGGCCACTCGGCTGCTCCTCTTTTGTGGGACCAAATACCTGGCCACACGGTCGGCAAATCTTCCCGATTCCCCGGCTGGCAGACGGATGGGGCGGGGATCGTGGCGGGGCCTCCCCCCACCCCCCCAGACGGGTGGGGCGGTGACCGCGGCGTGGCCACTCCGACACCCATCCCAGCACACTCGTCATCTCAAGGCATCGCACCCGCAGGACAGGTAACCTCAGCTGACAAACTCGCTACAGGACAAGGCGGATTAATGAGAAAAGGGGGGATATAAACGGTTCCTGCTGTGCAGAGGACGAAACCATCGAAGGGAGCTGAGAAGAAATAAGATTAATCCATAATTGTCCTCTTTGGAGGTTTGGCTTTTTTTTACCTTCCTTCTGTAGCACTTTGTATCTGGGTCAGCGCTGGTGAGGGGGCAGCGGGTCTGAGCCAGTACAATAACGCCCGTAGGGCGGGGAAAAAAAAAAATCCTAAACCCACCACTAATTACAGCAAACCCACCCGTCCCAGCCCAGCAAAACACACTTGATTTCAGCGGCAAAAGACGAGCGTGCACGGCCATCCCCGGACACCCCACGGCAGGGAAGGCCGGAGGAGGAGGAAGCGTTCAGCCACGCTGCGTCACCGGACAAAGTATTTGTAACCCCACGAGAACGAGCCAGATGCAAAAATAGTTCTGCTAGCAGTTGTTTCAGGGTAGGATTGCTTTTTTTTTTTTTTTGGTGCACGGCTTCAGCGGGGGGAGGGGGATTTTTAAGTGCAGAAAGTGCTTTTCACTTCAATTCATCACCCCGTCTAATTCCTGCCACCTCAATTAATCCCCCAGTCTAATTTCTGCCGCTGAGTGGCAACTACAGCCTTGATTTCCACTAACGCCCGGCAAAGGGACCCCGCAGAAACACCCCTCTCCGGTTACCACCGGGGTGCTGAGACGGAGCACCCCCACCACGAGCAGGGAACAGCACCCGAGCCACCGCACGCCGACGGGGAGCAGAGGAAAATCCTAAACAAAATCCCAAAGCTGGAAACTCCCAGCAGCGCCGCGGGCTCTCCCTCAGCCTCCCCTACGCCGGCACGTAACCGCACGCGATGCTCGAGCCATGGAAACGGGAGCGCGGGCAGGGGACGCGCTGCCACCGACGTCAGCCGGGCAGCGCCACGAGGTCCCCTCCGGAGCCCTGGATCGCACCCAGCAGCTCATCGGGAAGGCACCGGGCAGCCGGCTTTACCAATCTCGCCCTTTCCATCAGCAAAAGGACGCCCGATCAGGATTCGCCTGCAGCCAAGCTTCCCAAACTTTTCCGAGCCAGGACAATCGGGCCAACCGCAGAGTTATTAACGCAGGCGGGCGCCCATCGGTCCCGAGATGTAAATCTCGGTGAGGCCGGGCTCCATGCGCGGAGGACGGAGCCTCTCCCGATCCGTCCCGACGGCACAAGGCTGACGCGAGCGGCTCCTTACAGGAGAGGAGGGATGAGCGAATCGTTAGTACGTTAGGGGGGGAAAAAATATATATACATACAGGAACACCCACCTTAGCGAGGAGCTCTTCTGGTCTTGCTTATATCCACGATTCAAACAGCAGCCAAGCGAGAGTGTTTTTAAGAAGTCTTCTATCCCCTTTTCTCCTTGACTTTTTAAATAAACTACCCAACAAAACCACGGAAGCTCCTACAGAGAGTTTCACGTATGGCTCTTGTAGCGGGAAGCCAAACTGCCAGAGTCGGGTATCGGCGGTCAGTGTTAAAGCTGGTCGACTTGCCAGAAGCCACCCAATTTTTTTACCCCCAAAACCTTCTTTTTTTTTTTTTCCTACTTAATAATTTATTGACATGGGGAGGAGGAAAAAGAAAGTCCGGAACTCACCCTGCGCTCTCTAGGTCATTTCTTTTTTTAAAGACACCATTCCTGAAGAACTAACTCCCTTGTTCCCTTCTTACCAGCAGGACTTAATGCCGCCCTCACAAACCCAGGCGACGGGGCAGGGTGCTCAGAACACCTTAAACCTCGATTTGCTCTCTTAGTATAGCAAGTCCTCCAGAAACTGGATCGGGTTAAGTGATAAACCTTAATAAAAAAGCCAAGGGAAGGTCATCTGAACTGGGTTATTCTTTTAAAAATTCAGCCCATACCTTCTCCTTCGCGTTTACTCACAATCGGAGCGCGCGTCTCCTCCCCGCCAGCTCCTTAAGACTAGCTTATCTCCCAGGCGAGAGCCTGCTCGGAAAGCCGGGCCCTGTGCCGGAGCGCTCCGCTGCTCCGTCCCGAGCTCTACAGCCGCGCTGCCCTACGCTTGGATTAAATACTAAAAAATAAACGGTTCAGGCTCTCCCAGAAGTTAAGCTTAAAGCTCCCAAAATACAGCACTGAATCACCAAAACAGGGTTATCCGAAGGCGGCTGAGGCTTCGCTGCGCCGCTCGCCCCTAACCCCCGCTCGGTTCTTCCCTCCCCGTTACCGGCACATGCCGCTGCGGCCCGGCAGCTCCCGCGGCCCGGCTCCGGCCTCCCCCCGCTCCCGG